GATCCCACTACCTATAGTATTTATACTGACTATTTTACTTTCCATGGGTACGACCAGGACATTCCTTTTGGGGGACCGGCGGGGGGAGTTTTCACACTGATTATTTTGGTGGTAGCTCTTCTGGTGAAGATGGTGCAGGTGGGAGCGGAGGTGGAGGATTCGGCTCCATGGATGAGGATGATAAGGACTAGCCATGTTGGGCTAGTTCCCGAGCCAATGAGGACATTGTCTGATTCTGGCTTGGGGGAGATTTTTGATTTGGTATTTTTCTTTTTCTCTTCTCTTTTGTTTTTGGTGTGTTTTCTTAGATTAGATTTATTGCTTTCTAGGTTAGTTTTATTGCTTTCTTCTATGAAAAATACAAAAAAAATTGAAAAATAAAAACAATCCAAAAATACATTCCAATGAATTGTAAATCATGCTTCCCTGTGCCCCATACTTAGAAAATATTGTTTTGATTCTTGGTATATGATGATAAGCATTGTGGATTTGTTGATTATGATTTGAAGTTTGATTTCTTAGATGTCCTAACATGCATCAATTTTGTCCAACTGCTTGTGAATATAGTGCTTTACTAGTTGATTTGGTTAGGAATGTGTGATAGTTCCTTGTATGTCAAGGAATTTGAGTATTGGTTTGCAACTATAAGTAATGTTTATATGACTCATTATTATGCACATTGTGGAGGACGAAGGCATTTGTTCTTTTAGGTGGCCTACAGATGATTTAGATACATTTGTTCCCTTCTTGCTACCCATTTTGTTGCCTTGACCTTTTTGTTGTTTATTAGCCACATTACAAGCCTATTTTGCCCCATTGGTTACTAGTCTCAAGCTTGGCTTGGGGGAGCTATTAGTGAGTGAGGTGAGGGAGTTTGTAGTGTGCTTATTATTTGCACAATTTGGGTTGGTTTTGAGAAGTTATTTTATTCTTGATTGTAGTTTATTTTTGATGAGCTTGAATGTTTAATCTTCTTGAGAAAAATATAGTATGACGTTATAAAAAAATGAAAAAAAAGAGCAAAAGGAAAAAAATTGTTCAATGTTCAAATGTTCTAGTGAAAAAAATAAAGTTTGTTTATTCACTCAAGTTATTTATTGTTATATCTTTATGAGTGAAATTTGTATGTGTTGGGATTGTTGTTTATGTTTGGAGTTATTTTTGGTGGATTCTTGTTGGAGTTGGTTATGTTGGAGATGTTGATCATTATTTATTTTGATCATTGGTTTTATTAGGATTTGCTCCCTTAAGCATAGCTTATATCTCACTTATTCCCAAATGTTTCCTACCCTTTACCCTAGCCTTACATTACAAGCTTTAAAGACCTTCCGACCTTTGTGCATAGAGTGTATGAATGTGAAAGTGTTGTTTATCAATGCAAGTTATGAGTTGACATATTTCGAGTCGACTAGTAGGTTGAGTGTACATCTTTTTATACACAGAAGAGTGTGAGTTGGGAGGGCATCGTTCACATAAAGGGGTTGGTTGGAGAGCGATCGAGTACATCTTTACTCGCCACATAAATGAGAGTTGAGTGTGTGAGCACTAGTCTTGAATTCTATATGCTCTTGTGGTTTGCTCTATTTGACAATTGTTAGGGAGGAAGAGTAATTGGATGATGAGATTGGTTGATGTTGAAGCATGTTTATTAGATTTACCTTGAATTGTTAGTGCTTGGTTTTTACTTTTTGGGGTGAAGCATATTTATTTATTCATTGATGAGATCTTTGCTTAAGGACAAGCAAAGGTTTGGCTTGGGGGAGTTTGATATGTTCATTTTATATAGTATTTTACCCCCGTCCCTTGGTCATAATTAGTAGTGTTTTTGGCTCTTTAGAGCCACTTTTATTACTAATTGGTGTTTTCTAGTGTTTTCATATATTTGGTTGACTTTTATAGGGATTTGCACTTTTGGAGTATTTTCCCGAGATATTATGGAGTATCTACGAGCATTAGAGATGCACGACCAGTTTTTATAGCCCAGGGCCGGTTAGAGCCATCGAACCAGTGATTAAGGGCTTGGTATATGCGATAGCGGGGCATTTGGATCGAGTATTCAAGTTCTAAAGAGGAAATCCAGATTGGCCCGAAGAATTGGAGCCCAATCAAAGTCCAAAGAGTGGCCCAAGAGTGCCGCCCAGCAATTAGAGGCCCCGCCCGAAGGCGCGCCAGGCCGGACGGGGGAGGCGAAGCTGGCGCCCCGAAGTCGTGCCCGGCCGGGCGCGAGAGACGCTCCTAATGAGTAAAAAGGCGGGCCCGATCGGGCGCGTGTTATTATTAGGCGGTTTAATCGTCGTTTAAGTTTGTTTTAGTCCAGGATTCTTGCTTAATATAAATACTTTTCCGTTAAGCGAGTTGAGGATCTTCTTTCACTCTTTATTCATTCTTCTCTTAAATTTTCTCTCTCTACTTAGCTTTAAGATTAGTTTCTCTCCCTACAACTTTGTTCTTAACTCTATCCTTAATTCCAGATTACTTTGGTAACGATTTGTTCTGCTTAAATCTCAGTTATTTATTTTAATTCTTTCATCATGTCGTATTTTATTGCTTTGATTAGTTTAGTTTTAATTATGTGTGAGTAGTTTTATTTCTAGGGTTTGTGGGGATCCATAAATAATATGAAGGGGTAATTTATTAATGTTGATTATCAATGCCAGATTAATTTCCTATTGATTAATTTAATGCTTTGTGACTAGATTACGCCTGATCTTTTATGCATGAGTTTGACAATATTGATTCGAGATTCGAGAGATGAGAATTGATGTTTAGGTCTAGTTTCAATAGGCAGGTTAATTTATAAATGGTTAAGTCAAGATTCGAGAGATGAGATTTAATACCGGTAGATTAATTATGTGATGGTACGTAGCGAAAGCCCTTTATGATCTGATTAATTTATGCATTGATTATTGAGTATTATGTTTTATCCTGGAATGTTATTTATTTGTGAACCTATGCCCTAGGCCTTTATTCATTGTTTTCTCTTTACTCTTAATCTCCGTAGTTTAGTTTTATATCCATATTAATAAATTGTTACTTGATAATTTAGATTGCTTAAATTAATTAGGAATAGAAAGACCAGTTTCCCTGTGGATTCGAATCTACTTCCCTATCTGCATTAGTTAGAGGATTTAGGAATTATTTTTGATTGGGTGATTACGACTTTAGCCTGTCATGTTTAGACATGGTGAATTCTCGAAGAAAATAGCTCAACAATCCGAACAAAATACACCACAAACACCACAAGAAACACCAACCAACAATTCAAGATGCCTCAATCACACTCCTTTACCAACACCGTCAATCAACAACTCACTACCAAAATCAAATAATCCCAAATTTACATAATCACTACCAATTCAAATCAACAATTGCTTTCCAACCATAAACCAATCACAATGAAACTAATAACCAATGCTCAACAATATCAATGTCACACTACCAAAAATCCGACCTCAACAATTCTCAACAATCATGCTCAAATTAGCTACAAAAACATCAAACAACACAATGTGAGACAATAACAATCAACAAAAACATATGTAATCAACCAAAATTCAACATCAATCATAAAAATTACCAAAATTAATACTACTACTATTCACAACCATCAATAATCCAATACTTGCAACTATATGATATAATTATGCAATTAAGAGTAAAAAAAAGATGTGTATACCATACAAGATGCAAGATTGAACAAGTTTTGGCCACCAATTCCCTCACAAACAAAAAAGCCCCAATTTGCTTCAATAATGGATAAAAGAGATTGAAGATTAAAATAGATGGAGATAGTGTAGTCTTTGTTGAAAAGGATGAAAATGTAGGAAGATTTGATGATTTTTGATTGAAAATTTGTTGATTAACTTTCTTTGGTGCGTTCTTCTGTGGGCTTATATTAATCCCCTGGAGCGCTCGCGCCATACTAAGAAACTTGTATTTTGCTTCTTTGGTGCGTTCTTCTGTGGGCTTATTGTTTAATATTATCTCGGGATTTTTGAACCCATCATAATGATCAGTTTCTAAACATGAAGAATGTGGGTTCAACACCCCTAAAATATTGATAGGACCACAATGAACTCACCAACTTCAATTTTTCTTCAAATTTTAGCACAATTTCCCTATCTTACCTCACTAATATTTCTTAACCTTGTTACCTCAAAATTCGACAAAATCGAACATACATCACATCAAAAACCGAAAAATACCTATCCATTGCTCTTGCTCATTTGATAATCCATTTCCATGAATTTACCCTATAATTCAAAAACAAAAAAGTGAAAGAAAAGAAAATAAAATAAAGAATATTAAGAAAATAGAAATAAAAAGAAAAGGTTAGAAATCTCTGGGTTTCCTCCCGGGAAGCGCTTGCTTGTGGTCCTAAGCTCGACCCTTCCTCCAAATCATGGAGGGTCAAAGGACACCACCTTACTCAAAGTGGCGGAAAGTACCAACTTCTCTTCAATTTGTAGCAACTCCTCGTTGTTGCTTGATGAAACCTTATTTGCTTGAACTTCAAAAACAACCTTCTCATTCTTCAACATCAATCTCATTCGCTTCTTCCTAGAAGCCCTTGCCTTCTTCTTAGCTTTTTTCCTTCTTGTAGATGGGTTAACACCATCCACTTCCTTGGAACCATCCTCCTCCTCTTAAGGACAAAGCTCAAACCAATGTGGAATGTCAATTACCTCTTCGTCCTTGGCTTTTGAAAGCTTTTCTTCTTCACTAAATTTCATGCCATCAAACTTCACAAGCACATTATCAAAAATCTCATAAACACCGTTAGTTGAAGAATTAATCACACACACATTATCCAATGAACGAAGGGAATTATCATTCATGACTCCTTTCACAAAAGACAAGGATTCATGCATTGGTTTTAGATTAAACTTTCTTTTTCATTACCAACTCTCAAAGTGATAAGACCTCCCTTAACATCTATTAGAGCACCCTAAGTAGCTAAAAACGGTCTCCCTAGAATAATAGAAATGTGGTCATCCTCTTCAATTTCTAGCACCTATCCTAAGGGGAACATCTTCAACTCTTCCTTTTGGGAGCTTACTAGATCTATCGGCCAATTCCAAGGTCATGTTCGTAGGAAGAAGTTCTCTTAGCTTAAGCTTCTTGAACACCGAGTAAGGCATAATGCTAACACTAGCACCTAAGTTACACAAAGCATTTTTCAAACAACTTACTCTTGATTTTGCAAGGAATAGAGAAATTGCCCGGATCTTTCATCTTCTTTGGTAGGGGTAGGTCATTGTGAATCAATGCACTACAACACTCACCAAGATATACCAAATCTATCTCATTGCACTCCCTCTTTCCACTCAATATATCCTTAAGGAATTTGGAATATCTAGTCATTTGGGTCATAGCTTTGGTGAGAGGGATAGAAAGATGGACCTCCTTAAACATGTCATGAAATATCCCAAATTGTTCATCTAACTTGTTCCTCATAAACTTTTGGGGATATGGAAGGTCGGTTTTTCTCACTTCCTCTTGCACTCTCTCAACACTCTTCGTTTTCTCAAGGACTTCCTCTTTTCTCACACTCTTTGACACATCTTTCTCTTTTTCCTCACTTAAGTCACAATCACTCTTCTTCTCTTCCTTCTCATTATTCCTAGAAATTCTCTCTTCAAGCACTTTTCCACTCCTTGTGGTGATAGAATAAACGGGTTTCTTAGGATCAACTCCTTGAGAGGGTAGTGAAGAAGGTCTAGCACAATCTTTCAAAGTGGTGGCTAGTTGAGTGATTTGGGTTTCAAGCATCTTGTTGTGTGTCATCATCTCATTGAACTTCTTATCACTCACCGACATGTAGGTGTTCAAAATCTTGGTTTGGTTCTCAATGATCTCCTCTAAGGTATTCTTGGAAGATGGGGGTTGAGCATAAGAATTATCACCATTGTGTTGAGGTCTTGGAGCGAATTCGGGTGGGGTCCCCTTTGGTTGTTGTTTTGAAAATTTCCCCTATTTTGATTGTTCCAATTACCTCGGCCTTGATTGTTACCAAATTTTGGTGTTGGCCACCAAAACCATGAGATTGAACATGATTTCCATACCCTTGGATTTGGCTTTAATTACTATAACCTTGGTTATTATAGTTACCTCGGAAACCTTGATTTCCTTGGTTCCTATAACCACCATTGTTGTAGTTATCAAAACTACCTTGTTGGTGAGAATTCCTATTCCCAAAATTCCTTAGAGCATCAAATCTTTATCCATTGTTATTATTTGAAAAAAAATTCATTTGCTCACAATCATTGTTTTTAACATCATCACAATTCTCAAAAGCATTTGGACAATTAGAAGAATCATGGTCGTAAGACCCACAAACATCACAAAAGACACAACCACTTGGCATATTACTCGAAGTAGAAGGAGGAGTAGAGTTAGAAGGTGTACCTCTCCCTTTTATGTGGGAGGGAATAATTGGTGCAACCGAATAGGCACTCTATCTTGGCTTTAATCAATGTCATCTCCTTTCCCAAGTTTGAGATTTGGGAAGACAAGTTATTGATTGCGTTAAGATAATCAACCGAATAACCCGTTGAGCCACTCTTGCTTATGGACTCTCTCTCTCCCTCTTGCCAATCCATGTAGTGACGAACTACATCCTCAATTATATCTACAACCTCTTCTTCGGTCTTGTTCATAATCAGGCCTCAGGCTCCGGCATCAAGACACGACTTCCCTTGGGGGCTCAATCCTCCATAGAAATTTTTTATGATTTAATAAGTTGGAATTCCATGATGATGACATTCACGTTGATACTCCTTGTATCTTTCCCAAGCCTCATACAAACTCTCACTAGGCTATTGCTTGAAACTTTAGATTAGAGTTCTTACCTCCGCGGTCTTCTTTTGAAGATAGAAGCAAGAAAGAAACTCTTCAGTAACCTTTTCCCAAGTTCTCAAGGAATTAGGTTTCACTTCCTTGTGCAACCATTCCAAAGCTCTTCCGATTAGAGAAAACGGAAATAGTTTGAGCCTTATGAACTCTTGAGAAACCCCATTGACCTTGATGGTATTACAATACTTATCGAACTCTTTAAGATGGTTTAGTGGGCTTTATGCTTGGCACCACTAAATTGCCTTCATTCAATCATTGTTATCATTTTCGGCCTTATCTCAAAGTCATTGGAAGGAGTTGTTGGTGGAGCTATACCACTCTCAAACCTAAAAGCGCCGGGAGTTCCCAACTTCTTCAAAGCAACTCTTCGATTAGCTCCCATGCTTACTCGATCCTCCTCTTCTCTTTCTTGGTGAATTTCCTCTCTTGGAGAGCTTGGACTCAAAGAACAATTAGCAACCCTTATCCTTGTTATTGTTCTCTCGATTTCTGTATCAAATGGCACTAAAGTCCTTCCTCTTATCCTACGCATACAAAAAAAACTCAAAGCAAATATCAATAGCACGGCTACAAATGTAGCCTAAAGAGAAAAATCTTTTTGTATTTTTGAAATTAAGTGAAATAGACTCAACAACAATAGCAAACAACTATGCCATACCCCGACAACGGCGCCATTTTTTATCAAGGGTGGAGACTAGGTCGTTGAAAACTAATCTACCCTCGGTCAAAACAAAATTTGTAATCTCTCAACACACCCTTATGCCTAGCATAGGAGTAAGTCGAGGGTCGAACCACTAGGAATGGGAGATGAGTGCTAATGCTAACTCTAAGCTATCTCAAAGTAATGAAGTAAGGTGTGCAAATTCCAAAACAATCAAACAATAAAGAAGAAATCAAATAATATCAAGCACTAGGGTTAGGATCCACATATACTCGGAATGGATATAGCTAATTGGGATTGGAGATGACTAAGTCGAGTGTTACGAGGGAAAATTAATTAAGCAATCAAGAGAGTATGGTAGGCTTATCTCCTAGAGGTTAATCTAGCATCAACTATGAGAGACTCTAACTACGAACCTTGCAAACCTACTCAATCGACAAAAGCAAGCCACAAATCAATTTTCCTTATCAATGTGAGCTTACAATGCATTCTAGTGTAACAATCAAAGTTAGCTACTCTTCAATTAATCACACTCATGCACTTAATCAATCAACCAATTTAATCACAACATCAACTCTATCGATTTCCCCCAATTTGCATCAATCCATTACTCATATATGCTTCACCATTTCCCTAGCAAGAGAACTACTCACAATCCATAGAAATCAAGATCAAAACTAAGCTAAACAATAATTTCATCATCATCATATCAATAAAACTAATTCAATCACAAATTCAATTCAAACTTCAACAATCAACAAAATAATTGAAATCATAAGCTAAAGATTGCATTAAAGTAAAGAAATCCTTACAAACTTGCTTCAATTGTTTTGTGTGATTGTTCATTCAATCTAGAATCATCAATCATCAATATTCAATCATCAACCAATAACTTCTCTCTCTACAATCTAAAGTTTCTCTCTCTATAAAATGATCTAAATTTCTATTGTAATTCTCAAAAATCTATTCTAATCTCCTCCCTCTAAAAATAGAATGAAAATCTATATATAGTAAAACTAACAAAGACAAATTAGTTAGATCGTCCCCAAATAAACCCGTACAGGCGCGGCCAACTATAAGTGAGAGCGCGACCGCACAAATCTAGTTATGGAGCAGAGACCTAGACAGGTGAGCCCGTGCCCGAGAGAGGCGCGACCTCGCCATAGTTACGCGTGCCCGCGCCTGGGAACAAGGCATCCCTCTTCACCATCATGTCGATGATCCTCGTGCGTTTCACTCAATGCTCTTGATAAACACGGGACCTTACAGTTTCAAAACCCCAAGTTTGTGGGTTCAACACGAGAAATCATGCCCCCACGGCTTGAAAGCACGACCTAAAGTCTTTAGGAACTTGCACTTCTCCATGCTCAAGCTTCAAATTGAGAACATTAGGCATCCTAATCAATGCCAAACTTAGGAAGAGGCCTCGGGAATCTTTAGATAACGACCTTAACCCGAAAAATGAAAGAAAACAAGCAAATAAAAGAGAAAATAACAAAATAAACCAAGAAATGCATAAAGATAGAAATTCAACTAAGAAAATGTAAAGAAATAAAGAGTAAAATTAGGGAAAATATAAGGAAAAGAGCTATAGAATAGCATGAAATACACCATAAAGAGAATTAAATGAGTGCTATAAATGACACTCATCACTGTACATCGTGACACGGAGCCATGTGCCACGCCACGGTGGATATACCGCGTCGCGAAGTCCTTTGATGTGTCACGGTTCACATACCATGACATGGGATTTTTATGTGTACTCTCCGCTTACAATTTTCAAGAGTTTTATCACTTTAGGGAAAAACTGCACACCGCGACACTTTAATCTGTATCGTGTCACGACACCTATTGTCGTGTCGTGGCAGGCACTGACCGTGTCACTATGCCTTAATTTAGGATTTTTTTTAATATCTTTTATAGGATTTCATATGATCCCCTACTCATTTCCTCTATAAATACCCCCTCCTTTCTACAGTTCAGGGCACAAAATCATTCTCTATTCCTCTCTTCTACACCAAGAATCAACCTGTTCTCTCTCTCTCTCTCTCTCTCTCTCTCTCTCATATTCTAAGCCTTAAACCTATATTCCTAACTAAATCATTCCTCCTTTAAGCACTCCAAGGAGTCTAAACTTGACCTAGGGTTCCGTCCTTTAACCAAGGCATGAAAGATACAAATAACTGAGCGTTTGGACCAAATAAACTCTACTTGTATTTGATTTAATTTCCATTTGATTTATATATTTATTGAATTTACTAACGGTTATTCATGATGTAGCAATTCAAGGAAATATAGAAAGTGAGTAATTATTTCACTTAATTACTCTTATTATTAATATTGCTAGAATCATGATTAAGTTTATAATTATTTAACTAATGATATTATTATTAAATTGCTTTCAATATTAATGTTGACTTCTATTGTTATTATTGATCACCATATTGCATGTTAAAGGGAATATATAATTGAAAATCACGCCTAATAAGATAATTTGGACAACCGGTTTAGGTTACTTTTTAATCTTGTTATTAAATCAAGTGATACTAATATTTTAGAATTATATGTTGCATTAATATTCAACCAATTTAGCATAATAATAGTTTGGAGTGAATTGAATATTTGTTTGCATGCCTTTGAGATCGCAGGAATCACTTTTCACTATAAGAATCTAGTAGATGCCACTACGGGCGAATGTGACTCCATGACTCACTTTGTACCATCATCTCCGATCTTCCTTTAGTGGTTCCGAATCATATAGAGTTAGTAATCTCATGGATTATGAATGGGGTGTAAACTTCATGGGCTAATCGTTGTTGCCTATCGTTGTCCCTTTATCGTGGTTGCCTTTTATGATCCGTGAACTATTTACAAGTTCCTAAAAACTTAATAGAATCGTACACGTCAATTCCAACTTCCTATTAGAGTCAAGCATATTCACACATGCTTAACATAGGCGCACTTCATATGACGCCTAAAATACGCTTCTGCACATTTATAAAATTATAGAAAAGTGTATCGTTTACAATCGCCACTAAAACCCAAAAATCGATACGAAATGACTTTTTTACACTAGATTTTAAAATTATTGATGAGCGTCATTTATGTCTCTCAAAATAATAAGATTTATGTCCTTTTTCTATATTTTCTTTCTTTATCTTCCTATAATTTCCTTAGTTTTATTTGGTTTTCCATTTTAAAGCTCATTTTGGGTTTCGATTAGTTTTATGAGGTTTTTTTTTTATTTATTTTATATTTTAGTTCTTAATTCGTAGTTTTTGTTTAGTTTTTTTTTCCGCCCTTA